AGATTATTTTAATTAGGTAAACTTGGAATCATCAGCATGCTGATGATACAGTTCTGCTTACCAATAATGATGATGATGATGATAATAATAATAATAATAATAATAATAATAATAATAATAACAATAATAATAGTAAAGTTGGAAGGGACCTTGGAGGTCATCTAGTCCAACCCCCTGCTCAGGCAGGAAACCCTACACCATTTCGGACAAATGGCTGTCCAGTCTCTTCTTAAAAACTTCCAGTGTTGGAGCATTTATTGCTTCTGGAGGCAGGTTGTTCCACTGATTAATTGTTCTCACTGTCAGGAAGTTTCTCCGTAGTTCTAGGTTGCTTCTCTCCTTGATTAGTTTCTACCCATTGCTTCTTGTCCTGCCTTCATGTGCTTTGGAAAATAGCTTGATTCCCTCTTCTTTATGAGATATTGGAATACTGCTGTCATGTCCCCCCTTGTCCTTCTCTTCGTTAAACTAGACATACCCAATTCTAGCAACTCTTCCTTATATGTTTTAGCCTCCAGTCCCCTAATCATCTTTGTTGATTAGGAAGATCAGGAAGATCTTCAGCTCCTCATCAACAGAGTCACAGAAATATCTGAAAAATACGCTTGAAACTTAACACCTCAAAAACCAAGATCATGGTCATCAGCAAACAACCTGTTAATTTACCACCAATAAATGCAGAAGGAATACCACTAGAAATAGTTGAAAGGATCACACACTTTGGTTCTAATTTACATGAAAGCTGGGACATGACCACTGAAGTAAAGACAAGGATAGAAAAGCTTGAACAGCATTCTTCAAAATGAAAAACGTTGTCTGCAGTCACGACATAAGCCTAAAACTGAAAATCAGGCTTGTCAGATGTTATATTTTTTTTCTATCCTGCTCTATGGAGTAGATAGTTGGTCTCTGACAGAAGGCCACCTGAAGAGACTAGAAGAATTTGAAATGTGGATTTACAGGCAGCTGTTACATATAAGCTGGGTTGACAAGATCAGAAATGAGGAGGTGATAAGCCGCCTGGGAAAGCCAAGAGAAATCATCAAAACAATTAAAGAAACGAAAATTAGAATATTTCGGACATGTGATGCGACACCCAGAAAAATACGGCATACTCCATTTAATCCTCCTGGGAAAGATTGAAGGCAAACGAGGTCCAGGCAGAAGAAGAACATCGTGGCTTCAAAATCTAAGGGACTGGTTTGGACAAAACTCAGCAGCACTTTTTCGTGCGGCTGCTGATAAAAACAGGATCGCCAACATGATCGCCAACGTCTGATAATGGATATGGCACAAGAAAAAGAAGAAGAAACTTGGAATGGTGGCATAATGCTGACATTCAGTGTAACTTTTCTTTACGGAAATGTCTGTGAGGCCCCAAGAACACCAAGAAAAGCTCTACTCTGCTGTTTATTTAGGAATGTGCTCACTTATCCAGAAAAATAAAGGGTAAAGAATATTCTGAAAGACCAGGAACCAGTGACAGAAAACTAGTCACCCCATCTGGTATGATTGCTGTTTTGGAACAGTATCCACAGAGTCGTTTTCATCACTGCAGTTGACCAAGTAAGAATGTCTTTGGGAATATGAAATTTGAACCTAAATTTTGAATGTGAGTTGGGTGACCCACAAGATGAAACTGCTGGAATGCAAATGCTCAGTTTTAATGGCCCATGTTTCTCCACAGTTACTTTTGTACAGGGTAAGAAAAGGGCATTATTTGAGTTACTTCAACTTCCTAACATTTGGGTGCCCTGTATTTTCACAACCTTAATTTGCTTCCATGAGCATAAGCAGAAGCTAACCTCATGTTTCCAAGGCATTTGTGGCTTCTCAGTACCCCTTCCCAAACCACTGATAGGACTCAGTTGCTGAAAACTTAGAACATAGAATAATAGAGCTGGAAGGGACCTTGGAGGTCTTCTAGTCCAACTCCTAATCAAGGAAGAGACCCTATACCATTTCAGACAAATGATTGTCCAGTCTCTTCTTGACAACCTCCAGTGATAGAGCGCCCACAACTTCTGAACTCAAACTATTCCATTGGTTGATTGCTCTAACCATTAGACATTTTCTCCTTAGTTCTAGGTTGCTTCTCTCCTTGCTTGGTTTACATCCATTGTTTCTTGTCTTGCCTTTTGGTGCTTTGGAAAATAGTTTGATCCTTGGAACACTACTATCATGTCACCTCTAGTCCTTCTTTTCACTCGATCGGACAATTCCTGCAACCATTCTTTGTATGTTTTAGCCTCTAACCCCCTAATCATCTTTGTTGCTCTTCTCTGTACTCTTTGCGTCTGAACATCTCTTTTATATTGTGGTGACCAGAACTGGATGTAATATTCCAAATGTGGTCTTACTAAGGCAGTACTAGGACTTCATGTTATCTTGATTCTATCCCTCTGTTAATGCAGCTTAGGATTGCATTGGCCTTTTTGGCTGCTGCTGCCAAAAAAGCCAATGCTTTGCTTTGCTCTGCTCTGCTCTGCTTTGCTTTTTCTTTCTAGAACCTTTTTTTTTCTTTTTTTCTCCTAGAATCTATTTTTTAAAAAAGAATTAAAGTTTAATCCTAGATTTGAAGTACCCTGAACTCCATGACATTTGATTCTCAACTGTTCGTATTTTTGGTGGTATCGAAAAAAAAAAAAGACTTCTGACAGGTCCTTGCACTTATGATTGTCACAGTGTACCTGTAATGATCTAATCACAAATAAGGCACTTGGCCACCAAAAATGTATTTATTATGTTTCAATGTCTCAGGATCATGCGATTGCCATTTGTGACCTTCCTAAGCTGCTTTCTAACAAGCAAAATCAATGGGGAAAACTAGATTCACTTAACAGTTGCATGACTCACTTAATGGCAAAAAAGATTGTAAAATTGAGCATGGTCACAGAATGATACATTTAATGACCACGTTACATAGTGACAGAAGATCCGGTCCCAAGTGGCTATAAATCAAGGATTAACTGTATCTGCAAGGAGTCTGAATCATTGTTACTGCAGAAGAATCACCACCAACAAAGCATTACACAAATTTAGAGCTGAATGTGCAAGCTTGCAGATAAATACCAAGCACCTTAAGTTTCATAAACTTTGTCACCATTCATTTAAAGGAAAGAAAATGAAGAACATTACTAAGTTTACACTGACCAGCTTTTTTTCTTCTTTCTTTCTTTCTTTCTTTCTTTCTTTCTTTCTTTCTTTCTTTCTTTCTTTCTTTCTCTTTCTTTCTTTCTTTCTTTCTTTCTTTCTTTCTTTACTTCCTTCCTTCCGTCCTTCCCTCCCTCCCTCCCTCTCTCTCTCTCACCTGCCTGCCTCTGAAAGAAGATTAGGGCCCATGTATGGACACAGTCATTATCCATCATGCAGAAAAGATGATGTTAGAAAGAAATAACCCCCAAGCCCAGAAAACGTATTGCGTGATTTAGTAATATACAGGTAGTCCTCAACTCACAACAATTCATTTAGTGACCATTTGAAGATACAACAGCACTGAAAAAAGGGACTTATGGCCAATTTTCACTCTTATAATCATTTCAGCATCCCCATGATCAAAATTCAGACGCTTGGCAACTAACTCGTATTTATGATGGTTGCAGTGTCCTGGTGACATGTGATCACCTTTTGTGACCTTCTGACAAGCAAAGTCAATGGGGAAGCCAGATTCACTTAACAACCATGTTACTAACCTAACAACTGCAGTGATTCACTTAACAACTGTGGCAAGAAAGGGCATAAAATGGGGCAAAACACACTTAACAGATGTTTCACTTGGCAACAGAAATTTTGAGCTCAATTGTGGTCCTAAGTCAAGGACTACCTGTCTATCATGTACATCACTTTACTTTTTCCCTGCTTAAGATAGGAGGCTGCATTGTAGAATGAAGAGGAGGAATAGATTACAATAGCAATAGCAATATCTGTTGCTTAACAATGGCAAATTCTGTACTTTGTGTTTCAATCTGTGGAACAGAATCTGTGCCAGCTAGTGTCAAGAATGTTAGGAGGACAAATTTAAAATTTTGGCTGATCTGTGAAAGGAAAATATCTCTTCTAAGATTATGGTTTGTGGAATCTGCAGACTCCTTATCTAAAATCAACAAGAGAATATAGTTTGTCCTTTTGGAAACCAGTTTCTCTCCCATGCCCATTTACACAGATTAACCAGATTATCCCCCACAAAGAAAGCCAAATGATGATTGAATCAGAACAAAAATATCTTCTGTGGGAGAGCAGAAACATCAGTTTTGCCAACTGCCTTATTTTGAAATTCCCCAACATTTTTGTATGCAAAGAAAGCACCACATTTTCCAGCAAATTGGAAGAAGCTTTCTAACTAACAGCTTCTCCAAGATGGAGATCACCCCAGAAAAAAAAGAGAGAAAAAAAATCTCTTTACATGCGATCCCTAACAAATATTCTCTTTCATTCTTTCTACACTGGGGATGTAACAAATATGCTCTTTTACCTATCAAACAAAACAAAACAAAAAACAAATACAAGCATAGCTGAAGTCATTGGCTGAGTGCATTGTGAAATCATGAGGTCAAATCAATCAGAATCTACTATTTTTTTTCTCAAAATCTTGGCTCTAGGAACATGGCCGTGGAAATGTGGAAGCAAGGAAAATTGCAGTGCATAAAACAGATCAAACCTTCCCTCACCGTGTAATTCATGTGGACTTTCACTATGTTCTGGACTTATTTATCTCATAAAATTGTCATGGGGTCAAATGAGAGAAGCCACAGACCTTTCTGGAAACTGGGAAGAAGGATAGGCTGTAAACACTACCATGATTTATTCATAACCCAACACTCCTCTTAAGGAGCACAATTCCTTGCCATCCCACATAGCTTCCAACAAGTCTTTGTTCAACTAAGCTTGGCTAAGAAGCCTTCTTCTTCTGGGGTTCCTTCTTGGTCTCTCAACCAGAAGCCCAGTGCACAATCCACCTCACACACAACTTCTTTATATTGAGTTGAGAATAACATGCTTACCCTTCAGTTTTCTTTCTCAGCTCTTGTTTCAAGCTTCTGCTTCTGTCTTGAGACCAGCCTCTCTCTTTTTGTCTTGTCCTTTGAGGAGTTTTTTTTTTCTTTGCTCAATCTCTTTTTTTGGTCATAGCACCTTCCACTAACTCAAAAAGGAAGTGATAGCAACTTTCAGAAAAGTTGAGTAAGAGACTTTAAAAAAAAAAAAAGTAAAAAGTGTTGAATTATTCTAAACACAGTCAGTTATTAGGATTGATTGGGTATATTTCTGTGTGTGTTTCTCTGTGTGAGAGAGTGTGAATGCTTATGTGCTTATATGCACTGATGTTGCATTCTTTTTTGCCCTTTTTGGCTTCTGAATTTCATGAACTCATGCTCCCTGTTTCTTTTCCTCTTTTTTTTTCTATTTTTTTTAAACCCTTAACATTGATACAGTGTACAGATGTACAAATACACAGTGCTTTTTTTCTAAAAAAAGGTGCCATAACTCACACATGTCATACAACTTGCCTTGCCTACTGTACAAGGTTCCATCCAAAAAAGGTGCCAGAACTCCATTCTAGGTGTTCTATGAGAAAAAAAGCCCCGTAAATACATATCCATAGAGATATATGCCCACTTCCCTCTTTAAAAATTACATCAACAGTACTCTATTTTCATGGAGGAAATCTATATTTGTGGTCTCTAGGAATCAAAAACAGATGATCAATCAATCACTTGCTCTGTGCTTGTTTTATTATTATGGTTCATCGCACAGTCAGCCAGATGTTAAGACTGGTTTTGGCATTTTTATCCACCTATTGAGTCTTTTCCAAGGACCTGGAATAGGCAGATGTGGATGTTTGATGGTGTTAGAGGTATCCTTGCAGGATGTAAGCTATTCCGAGTAAAGCTGCCTTTTGCAATTGACTGATGGCGAAATTGTCAATGCTGATGGTGTTTTAGTGGTCCTCTTCTTGTTGGGATTGATCTTTAATAATAGACAGTTATTTCTTTGTTCTCTGTCTTTATTTGTTCTCAATATTTGTGACAGCCAAACACCTTTTCTTCCAGTAGTTCTGCAGCTATTGGCCCTGGTTGCTAAGTCCTGTAACTCATTTTTCACCAAGAACTCCAATTCCTAGAATGATGTCTGACACCTCTGAAAAGACCTGTCCAGTATAGTTGACCCTCTGGCATAGCTCTCATCTTCCTCAGAGTACACAAGCCCCACAACCACATCGAGGTAGTGCCTCACTACTCCTTCTCCTTTTCCTTTACAGTGGAAGGGAGAAGCAAGCACATCCATGTAGTTTGAGAAATTTGGAAATGATTATATTATCTATAAACTTGACTCTAGAAGTGTAGACATGAACAGCTGATGGACTCTGTATCTTTTTTTCTTTCTTTGAAGGATAATAATAATAATAATAATAATAATAATAATAATAAGTAGTAGTAGTAGTAGTAGTAGTAGTAGTAGTAGTAGTAGTTGCCTCCAGAAGTTGTGGTTGTTCCAACACTGAAGGTTTTAAGAAGAGATTGAACAACCACTTGTCTAAAATTGTATAGGGTAATGGTGGCGAACCTATGGCATGCATGCCAGAGGCGTCACTCAGAGCTCTCTCTGTGGGCACACTCACCATGCCGTCCCTCTTCAACCAGCTGCATGCTAACTCTCTGAGGTCCCACATGGCTGGATGCATCCCAGCACCCATGTGCTAGCTGGCCAATGGTGCAGGGGCCGATGGTGTCAGGCAGCAGCCACCCCGGTCCCTGCCTCACCTTGCCCTATGACAATGGCACCCCTGCCCTGCCTTGCCTTACCCCGAGGTGATCACGTCCACCTTGGCCACATCCACCCCATCTGCCATGACCACCACAGCCACGCCCACCTGACACCCGGCAATAAATAAGTGGGTTTTGGGTTGCAGTGTGGGCACTCGGTCTGGGCCATCACTGGTATAGGGTTTCCTGCTTGAGCAGGAGGTTGGACTAGAAGACCTCCAAGACCCCTTCCAACTCTGTTATTCTGAGAGAAGCCTGAATGGCAGAGAACTTGGCTGTACAATTGACCAATATGTATACTAGCAGAGACAAAGAGAACTACATAAATCATATGTCATCCCCTCTGAAGAGCTGCAAGGCCCAGGATTTCTCATACAGAAGAAAGAGGAAGGGACAGGAGAGATTATGCAATGTGATAAGCAAGGACATTGATGCTAGGGACAGTGATAGCCAGTACATTAGTGGGATTTACAGGTTTAAAATATATGTCAGTAAATGTCTAAGTTACACAACTGAAATGCATTTATTAAATTTATATGCTGCCCATCTCATTCTGCAAAGTGACTCGATAGCTTACAATTAAAATCATAAATATAAAAATATTAAAAACTTTAGGTACAAAGATAAGAAACAAAAGGCAAGATCAGAATGGGGGTGACAAAGAATGTCAGCTGATGGGGACTAGAAGATGAGATTTTTCTGCAGCACCCCTTGCTCAGTGGCACATCCTCCCTTCAGAAATTAGAATGGCTTAAACCCTATTAGCTTCCTATAAAGCTTTTAAGACCTGGCTACGTCTGGGGTGCTACATGTGCTAGAAGCCCCACCTCCTAGCTGTATTTTAACAAGCCAGATGTCTTTCTTTGTATATATTCAAATTAGATGTTTTAAATTTTTTAGTGTTTTTATATTTTAATGTTTTTATTGTTTTAAGATTCTAACTGTAATATATGTTTCTTAATTGTGAGCTACACAGAGTTTTTGGCTGAGATGGGCGGCTATAGAAATCAAATATAATCAGTCAGTCAATCAATCAATTAAAAAATCAACCTTCCCTGTTTAGTCCACAAACTTCAAGACAAATAACAGAATAACATGGTTGGAAGGGATCTTGGAAATCTGAGAAAGCCCTATACCATTTCAGACAAGTGGTTGTCCTTTCTCTTCTTAAAAACCTCCAGTGGTGGAGCACTCAGAACTTCTGCAGACAAGTCATTTCACTGATTAATTTTTCTAACTGTCACAAAATTTCTTCTTAGTTTTAGGCTGGTTCTCTCCTTGATTAGTTTCTGTTCATTGCTTCTTGTTTTGCCTTGACAGAACCAGGTTTTAATGGCCTTTAAGAAGGTTGAAAGGGTGGGAGCAAATCTCCCTCAGGTTGCAAGTAGCCATAGGAGAAAAGGCTCTTCTTTTTCTTTAAACCCAGACAAAACTCCTTGACCAATTGGGCCCTCAGCTGCCCCTTCTGCCCGATCAAGTATGGTGGGCTGATACCACTGGTGTGAGTCGGTTCTTAAGATAACCTGATCCTGTGCCAGTGATGGCGAACCTTTTAGAGACCGAGTGCCCAAACTGCAACTCAAAACCCACTTATTTATTGCCGGGTGCCAGGTGGGCGTGGTCCACTGGGTGGGCATGGCTGTGGTGGTCATGGCAGACTGGGTGGGTGTGGCCAAGGTGGGCATGATCACCTCAATGTTGCTCGTGGGGAAGGATGACTGCAGGGCCCAGGCAGGGTTGAAGGAGATCCAGGGGGTCTCTAGCAGGTGGGGCGGTGAGCAGGAGGCTTGTCCTGTGGGGCGAGGCAAGGCAGGGCAGGGCTGCCATTGTCACAGGGCAAGGTGAAGCAGGGATTGGGGTAGCTGCTGCCTGACACCATTGGCCCCTGCACCATCATCCAGCGAGCGCATGGGTGCTGGGATGCATCCGGCCATGTGGGACCTCGGCGAGTTAGCATGCGGCTGGTTGAAGAAGGATGGTTGCCACCTCCGGGGCATGGTGAGTGTGCCCACAGAGAGGGCTCTGAGTGCCACCTCTGGTATGTGTGCCATAGGTTCGCCACCACTGTCCTATGCCATGAAGGGCTTTAAAGAGGATAACCATCAACTTGAATTGGATCCAAAAGAAAACATACAATCAGTGCAGCTCAGATAACAGTGATTTTTTGCACACTAAGGGTGGCCAAGACTGCACCAGCGCATTTTGAACCAATTGTAGTTTCTAAATACTCTTCAAGGGTAGCCCCATGTAGAGCACACTGAAGTAATCCAAATGCCAGAGCATGAGTGACTGAATGCAATCCAGAAAAGTGTGCAGCTGGCGCCCAGCACAAAGACATCAGAATGTTCTTATCTCCTCATTGCCTGAAAGGTTTTAAAGTTGATTTTTAGAATTAAAAGCTAATACTTTTCTTCCATGGTGCATTGGGTAGCATTTATGGAATGAAGGAGTGACCTCTTACAAGTTTGCAGCTGGTTTTTCCAAAGGGATGCTGGGACAGGTTCTGACACACATGATTGAATTTGTGAAGTGTGGATGATATGTTTGCACTTCTTTTTTTTTAACCTGAAGGAACTGTTTAACATATCTGAAAGGCAAAGTGTGAACTCTTGATTTATTTTTATTGGCTTATAAATCCTGCTTGTCTACACCCCTACTGCCGGCACAAGTGGTATGGGCCAGTCCCAGTGGGGAGAGATGGTCCCTCAAGTAACCTGGACCCCTGCCATGAAGCGCTTTAAAGGTGATCACCAAAACCTTGAATTGCACCTGGAAGCAGGCTGATAACAATGCAGCCCTGGGAGCAGGTGGTATTACAGGGACCATTCCTGCCCCCCCCCCAAAAAAAACTACCTGCGCTGCTGCACCACTGCACCCACTTTTGACAGTGAAGATCAGATCAGGAATCCAGTCACTGCCCAGATTGAGATGGGTGATATCTAAATCTGATAAATAAATAAATATCCCTGGAAGATCCAGGTCAGAAAATCCTTCACTGAACATCATAAAGCAGTTGATGTGGACATCAACTCCCAGAATTCCTCAACCAACATGCTGGCTGGGGAATTCTGGGAATTGAAGTCCATAAGTCTTAAAATTGCCAAGCTTGGGGACACCTGTCATGGGGCATCTGGACTGTGACCAGCTCCCTCTACTGGTATTCCATCACATCTTGGCTGACTCATTTCCTGTCCTGGAGACAATGTCCCCCCCCCCACCCCGCCACATTGGTTAGCCACAGCAACCCTTCACAAAGAGCTTTACAGCATTTCAGGGATTTGTTGCATCTGTGATGGGTGTGTAGAGATTCAGGCACTGTCGAAATAGCCAGGAGGGGTG